AAAACTATATAAAAAACAAATACCTAAGTAACGTAATTAATATTTTGCCAACCAATTTATCTTTTACTGAAAAATGGTTCTTCGTATATGTACTATGCTCCACACCTCAAAGTCCCACCACGTGACCACGTACGGAACGCAGTCTTTTGAAAATTTGGCATTTAAGGCTTTTCAGGTTATGTATCTGTCAAAGTATAGTCAACGAAAGAAATAATATTATGTTTAGGCGTTAAAAATGTATAAATCTTTATAACATTACAATAACAATGGACGGTTTAAGAATTTAAAAATATAAATACTGCATTTAATGAAATTCTAAAGTGTAAGGTGCCAAATAAGTAATATTTTTGTGCATTTGGTCCAAACATCTGGTTTTCTCCATAAAATAATTTTAACTAAACAGCATTTATTGAAAAAAAACTAGCTTATCTATTATGGAATAAAAATATCTGTATTAAAGGTAGGTTAATATAATCGTATTATAACAAAAATATTATCTAATTTTGTAATTTTAAGGTTGGAAAAATTTATTTTGACCAAAATAAATAAGTATTTTATTTAAAAGACTGTATAATATCGTATTTAAAAATGTGGTAGTTTTTCTTATCCAGCTTAAAGTGTACCTACATAAAGTTTTGTCAATACAAATAGTTAAAAATCTTCGACTGAATTTGATCTACATCAAAAAATCATTATAACTTTAAAAATTTTAATAAGGCACATGTCATTACATGAGTATTAAATATTTTCACATTGCAAGTTTCTCTAAAAATTGTTTGTTTTCTTATAATCTAACTTAAAGTAAGTATGCCGAGAGGTATGCACAAGTTTTGTCGTTAGAAGTATAAAAACTTATAAAAATTTAATTTGAACTTTATTCAACAATTATTTAGTATACATATATTTATTTATGACCATATTAACACACTCTTTCAAATATTCCACTTATTTATTTTGGTCAAAATAGATTTTTCTAACCTTAAAATACAAAATTAGATGATATTTTTTGTTCTAATACATTAACCTACCTTTGATACAGATATTCTTATTTCATAATAGAGAAGTTAGATTTTTTTAATAAATGCTGTTTAGTTAAAACTATTTTATGAAGAAATGTAGACCCAATGCACAAAAATATCACTTATATTGCACCTTACACTTTTGAATTTCATTAAATGCAGTATTTATATTCCTAAATTCTTAAACCAACCATTGTTATTGTGATACTATAAAGATTTATTAACTTTTAACGCTTAAACATAAGCGGTAACACTATAAATATTATTTCTTTCATTGACTATACTTTGACAGATACATAACCTGAAAAGCCTTAAATGCCAAATTTTCAAAAGACTGCGTTCCGTACGTGGTCACGTGGTGGGACTTTGAGGTGTGGAGCATAGTACATAGATAATAATACTATGGCTATAATCACGGTGGTTATTTAAAGATTTTTTTTTTAATAAAACTGATTAATACAGTTACTGTATTACAGTAGTTATTATTATCACACGAAAAATAAAAAAGAAAAAAAGCTCGTTTGGTTGTAGTAAAAAAAATACGGATCAAAAATTTCCAAAATCCGGCGCTGTGTATGCATTTAAACAAGTTCTTATGAAGAGTTTTTTGCTACAAAACTTATTTTTTTACTCCCACCTTTAAAACGCCCATTACCGTACATGTTTCCATGACACTAATTGATATTTTAAATACACATTAACAAGTTGTGGCCATAAGCATTTTAGTCACGTGCTGAAATTAGTTTAAATATTGAATAGTTTCTCAACGCAAATATCTATTTAAAAAGTTTGCCATAAAACATTTTTTTTTTACTTTCACTGTAAAAAACTGCTTCTATATCATGAATTAAACGGTTGTTAACTATAGTCCATAAATTTTGATTTACAGTTTGTTCTTATTAATTTCTGAATGTTTTGGTATTTCACTTTCAACAAAATGTGTAATATTATTTTTATTTACATATGTTATAACAAAAAAAACGAATGCACTTTATATTTGCATGTCCCACTTATTTGTACTACTGTATCTCAATTTTAAAGCAATCCCTGTGAAATATGTTTTACATTTATATTTTTTTGATTTTGATAAATTGTGTGCCACTAATGGAAACAACATTTTGTGCGTCGTATCCGTGTAAGCAAATGCTTACAGCATCGCAAACCAGAAAAATGGGTTTTAAAAAGAAAGAGAAAACCATTTACCGAAGGAAGCGAAAAATCACTGCAGAAAAAAGATTTTATTTTTATCTTCTACATTATGTATCGGACGCTATCCAAGCTTATTAAATTTGGCAGGTTATTTAACTAGGAAATTAAATTTTTTGGAGAATGTGTTTGCCTTTTAAATTTTAACTAGATTCAACCCGGATAAAAACCTTACTGTATAAACTTTTAACTCCACGTTTCAGAGTTTTCTATTAAAAACTGCATATTCAGGAAAATTTTAAGTTTAAATAAGTTTTACTTAGTACCAAGGCATACATTTTATTTGAATTAAGGTCCCAGAAAAAAATATGGATTAATATTTTTGTGTACACACAATTTCCCAAAAGATTAAAATTTGTATATATTTTTATACAGAAATTGACATATACAAGATTTTTGAATTAAAGTGTTTGGCGTCACCCTGTATATTTTTTATTTTTACGTTAACATCAGCAAAACTGTTTTGTGTATAATTTTATCAGTAAAACTGCACATAGCTAACTAAACATAAATAAATATTTTTTTTATCAGGAATTGTAAAAAATATTTGTTTTAATTTATAATATGTTTATTCACCATTGTCAGTTGCTTTTATGTTTAAATACACACACTTTAAAATAACACAATTTTTACGAAATTGAAAACATAAATATTTAATTCTAATTATAATTACTTATTGAAGCCAATGTATACAATAAAAATTCATTTTAAAAATATTTTTTATATTTATATAATATTGTTATACATTTTTAATTTTGATTTCTTCCATCATCATCAACGGTGAAAGCAAAATCTAAATATTAACTTTAGTTAATAAATTATTCATAATATTGTGTTAATAAAAATCCAATGAAAATAATTAAAAATTAACTTAAAAAGTTATGTAATTTTGGCTTATGTTAAATTTAAGCATTTTAGGACTTTTTTAATTCTATGTTCCCAAACAATGTTTTATGATTGTGGATATAATTTTAATTGCATTCTTAGAAATGTGATTTATTCTTAAAATTAAATTTTATAATTTGTTAAAATCAAAATATATGAAAATTTATTGGCCAGCATAAAGTGCAAAAACATAAAATAAATTATTAACAAAACTCAAAAACTAGTACTTTAACTAAAAAAGTTAATGTCATTATTGTTTTTTTAATTCAAATTTTTGTTTGTCATTGGCTACTTTGGCTACATTTCGTATTGGCATCGTTGCTTAGAAAATGAATTTTTTCATTGGCAAGGCAAGACACGAATGTAAAGTGACATTTCTGTGTGAAAAGTGACAGGTCTGTGTGAAAAGAAATTGACAGCATCGTTTGACATTCGTTTCAAAATTTGTATTGTATTTGTATATGTATTTCTAAATATCATTTAGAACACAATTAATTGTGTTTTTATAATAAATTCTAGAGATTAGTGCCTTTATTTAAATTGAGAAGGTAAGTTTATTGATTTTAAGTAAGTTATACATTAAAAATAAAAAGAATTACATGAATGAATTTTAACAGATGTCAAACACGTTTTTAGGTTATTTTGTTTTGTATTTGAATATAATAAAAAATAAAAGGCTCGTAGAAAAAACATTGTGTTTCACTTGTGAGAAAAGCTTTCTTCAAGCTTCAAGCTGACGGCCTCGTGAGCAACTTAAACACTCGTATGAAAAAGTCGCTTTTTAACACTTGTAAAACAAATAAAGTTATTTATAGTTCTATTGTGTAAAAATACTCTTGTTTGATTGTATTTTTGGGTACAAATTTAAAAATATAAAAAATTGTATATTAGGGTGGCAATATTTTTTTGATTTTTTTTTAACTTACATTACAAAATGTAACTTTTAAGTATTAAATGGTTTTAACCCAAACAAAAATTTTTAAGAAGCTACATAAGATTTTTCCAAATTACAAAAACCAACTTAAAGCATTTTTTTCTCAGAATATTTGATGGATTTTATGTATACCAATATCTTAGTTATTAGACATGGGACCCACACCAAATTTATAATAGTTTATAATGACATTAAATTTATCTACAAATTTAAAATTTTATTTAAAAAATCTAAATATTTCAGATTTTATTCGATTAAAATAAAAAAATATTTAAAATGGTATAAAACCTGTAATATTTGGATTTTTTTAAATAAAATTTTAAATTTCTCGATAAATTATAGTAGATAATAAATTGCACCACTTTAATTTGAATTATCTCAAATAGGGGGGCCTGGAAGCGGGTGAGGCAACAGGAAAAACTAACTTTTTTTCGCAAACTTCAATTTAAATTCTGTTTGCGCCGAACTTATTTATTTAATGTCATTATAAACTATTATAAATTTGGTATGTAGGTTTGTTTTATTTTTTTTGTAAAAATAAGGTCCTTTTTAAAAATTATGAGAATTATGGTTAAATTATTGACATAGCATTTTATTATTAAATCCACAAAATGTTTGTTATTATTACAAACTACTAATTCAATTAGTTAATAGATTACAGTTGGTTGTAAACTTAACATAAAGTTATGTGGACCTAGATTAACATAAAATCTTGTTAATATTTGGTTAAAATTAACAAATATTTTTTTACTCTGTAATTATATTTAAAGCGAGCGACCTTTAAAAAAATTTGTTTGAGTTAAGGAGGAAAGGACAATACTTCAAACTTATATTTTCTCATGTAAATATTGCCACCCTAATATTAACTTTAGTCTATTGTCATTGCGTTAACAAAATATATTCCCAAATAGTACAAAGAAATTAAATGTATTAACCTATATATAATTTTAAGGACACTAATTTATTACCTGGCATTTGGGGTACTGCTCGTCTGGTTTCTGTTCCACCTTCCAACCGAGCAGCGGTGGTATACAGATGAGCGCTGACAGAATCCAAACCGCAGCGATCATAACAATAGCTCTAACAGGAGTCCTCTTTTTCAGGTACTCCACCGCTTGGGTGATGCTCCAATACCTGTCCAACGATATTAAACACAAGTTCATGATCGAGGCAGTGGATAGCAGAACATCCATGGCACTGTGGATGTCGCACCACCACGGGCCGAAGATCCAGTAGCCCATTAACTCGTTGGCCAGAGAGAAGGGCATTATCACGAGACCTAGGAAGAAATCGGCCACGGCTAGGGAGGCGATGAACCAGTTTTGTATGTTTTTCAGAGCCTTCTCCGTCGTGATGGCTATGATGACCAGCATGTTGCCAACAACCACGACTATCATCACTATGGTAACTATTATCGAGGCCACCACGATCTGCGGAAGACCGTAACCTGATGGGTAGTGAGGTACCGCCACCGTGGTGTTTGTTAAATTGTAAGTTGAATTGTCCAGTAGGAGAAGCAAGTCCTCCACTGCCATAGCAGGTTTGGCTGTGTAGTTTGCTAAAGCCATCGCACTTAGTGTAACACTATTACTTTATATTATAATGGAAGATTTGTAGCAATAAAATTGGTCCCTAACACTATGTACAATATGAGTAATACCCGTATAGCCCGAAGCGCGGAATTATCGGCGATAATTTAGAACGTTAAACTTATACGTAAAAACGAAAAGAATAAAAATCGGTATTTACACTATTGTTGCTTTAGAATTGGCGGCGTGATGTCTTTGCGGCGTGGTTTGAAGTTTCGTTTAGAGCCACTTGAGGTGGCCCATGTGGGTACGCGGAGCGGAAGGCGCGCGTCGCATCTGCGTTCATGTTATAGGCTCGCACGACGACCGCAAACTGATGCGGACGGGGCCTTATTTCTCCGGCCGCTGGCGGCGGCGGCGGCGGCGGCGGCCGAAACGGGCGGCGCACGCACGCACGCCCCACATCCTCCGCCGATCTCGAGTCGACGAGGAGACGCTCGCCCGAGCCAGACGATCCAGCTTCTGGAGATGCTGTCGCGTGCGCTGAGCTGCCCCTCCTTCCTATGCACCCACTATACCGCGTGATACATTTATATCGCAAAAATATCATGATAAGATTCCCATAATTAATATAAGAACAAAACTTAATCAAATTTTGACGTAATTAGTTTAATATATATATAATACATATATGTATTCCAGTGGCTTAGTTGTTTTAAACTTAATTTTAATAAACTTTTAATTTTCTTTGCTATTTTAAGCATCTCTCTCCGTTTTCGAGAAACATTTTTATTACTAAGTTAGATATACAAGGTGTCCTTAAACTTAGTGGCATAAACGTAGGAAAAGATTGAGCAAGTAAATATAAGAAGAAAACCTAAATAAATATTTTTCGATTTGTACAATATTTTTGTTCTGATGGAATGGGGCATTAAAAGTAAAAATAGCTATAATAATAATATAAACCCCACTACACAGTAAACAATTTTGCCCGTGTAAATTTTTTAGTGTAGGGGTAAAAATATTAGAGTTGATTTGTAAGTGTAAAAGTTACACTACAAAATACACTAGGTAGCATTTAGTGCTTATTAACTTTATTAAACACATTTAAAGAATATAAACATTATTCTTTGGTACATTCAAACTATTAATTATTAAAATAAATCAAAAGTGTAGAAAAATATTGACAAAATGTACACTACAGTGCATGCCAATTTGTTTGTCTGTTTTTATGTTACTAAGAGCTATTTTTTCTTTACACTACATTGTATCACAATTAAAGTTAAATTACACCAATAGTGGTAAAATAGACTGAAAAAACTGTAAATAACCGAAATGCGTTTTAAAATGTTTGGTTGGTACATATCTACCTACGCAGTGCATATCCGGAGATACCGCGTTGTGGAAGTGTGGCATTTTTGTTCAGTTAGATTTTAATTACGGTGAATCCATAAGGAGACATTCTTATTTTTTGGTAAGTATTATTCTATTTCTTTAAGCCTTAATACTCAATAAATACCAATATGCTAAAAGGATGTCCACACCGGACCTATATTATATATCAATAATTTACGGCAGTAGGTCGGGTACTTGTAACATTAATAATATAAATACATATATGTGTGTATACACACTTGATTTACTTTTTATTTTCAAGCGTAATGGTTGTTATATTAACCTATACCTACATTTTTATTATTATTATGGAAAATTTGTACACGTGTGGTAAATCCCCGACCTACAGCCGCCTGACGCCTCTCTACCAATGGGACATTTTTTATAACAGAAAAATTACTGATGAATTCTCAAGATAATTCATTGCTTACATTTTGACAGCCAGTAAAACATTGCATTGATCTAAAACTTTTACGTTTTAAGGAACCATTTTGCTTGTCAGCCATACGACTCAAATATAAAATTATATTTTAAAAGGCACCGATTTTGATAATTGTCATAGATGTTTGTTCCAAATAAATGTTTTTCTTTATTTACCTTTTCGTTTTATTCACTACGACCAATAGTTTTTACTCAAATAATAGTGTTAATTTACAATAGAAGTTTGCACTAAAAGAGTAAAAGTACTGTAAGCGTACACACCCCCCCCCAGCAAAGAATCTGTAAAAGTTACACCCCAAGTGATAAATGAAATATAACACCACGGCAAATGTTATATTAAATTACGACAAATTAATAAAATATATACTTACGGTAATAAAGCTCATTAATTTAGTAACCCAAGGTACTTGTGAGGTGTTGTATTCATGGGGAAAGTATTTAAAAGGGAAATAAAAATACAGTAAATAAAAGGCAATAAGTTACGTTTGAACTCAGGTCAAAAACCCGGAAGGCTCCCGTTTATTTTTTTTATATAAGTATCGCTCATAAAACCTTCCAAAATGAGGGATTATGGGAGTGAGTTATACGTATAAAATAATTACAATTTATAACCAACAATAATGATATTTATCTGGACAGAGCAACAAAAATAACCGCAACCCAAACGACATTTAACTTAATGAACTCTGAAAGAAAAGGACCTCCTACAACCCTTTAAAAACCACACAATATCTCCTTGTTGCAACCACAAACCAAATATAAATAAATATATAAATAACATTACATAAATATTACATCATACTAGAGCTTAGCTCTCGTTTTTCATTTTTAATTTTTAATTTGTTTCTTCGCTTTTTGCTGGTTTGTTTGTTTGTTTGTTTGGTGAAAGTAGATTGAGTCTTAGTCTCTATTTTTGTATTTTAAATTTAACTTTATTCATCAAGCATTCCGTCTGCAATAGGCCTCCATCATCCAAATAAAGTTTTTATATTTATTATTTACTGTTGAATTTAAGTTAACTGTTACACAAATTTTCATGTAATATTTATTAGAGTTCAGGCTCAATAAACTGTTGGAAAAGGAGTAAATAATTATTAGGCCGTGATTGCTTCAACTGAGGGTCCGCAATTGTCTATTATGCCTCGTCGGCAAACTTTAATAAATTGATAATTACCATAAAATACTAGGTAATCAAAATGACACAAATAACAAAAACAATGTACCGTCGCCCAACGTTGGTACCAGATGAAACAACCGGTCGTCACCTAATAAAATTTACAGGATAGTAATTCAAAATGGGCTTGTTGTATCATGGACTCCACGGGCAGTGGATAAATTAAATGTCGCTATCGTACAATTACTGTTGCCACTCACTCCAAATGTAATACCAAATAATTAAATATGACTGGTAAAATTACTAATTACGGGACATAAATGTGAACCTGCGAGTACAATTTAATAAATCCCGTATTAAAGAAAATCGATATTAAATACACTTAGGTAATTTACACAGCGTTTCTGGTAAATTCCCCTTTTGAAATATTTATTAAAATTAATTAAATAATCTTAAGTACCGTCCTGTCATTTAGCTTAATAAAATCGAATACGGTCCTGCCTATTTTAATTGGATAAAATACCCCTAAAATCCTGCTCTTTTAATTTGATGAAATACACGTAAAAACCTCTGCCTTTTATTAGATAAAATACACGTACCAATTGTTTATAACTTAGAAATTAAATTATAATGCGAAATACCTAGTTTTAAACGTAAATTTTACAGCGTGGTTTGTTTTAAAACGGCAGCCATTACGGCTGAATAGATCGAACGATGACGCCAAGTCAATTGATCGAATATTTATCTTTACACAAGGTGTTTGTGTAAACTAATTATACCAAAATGCTCGGGAATATTTATACTACAATAATTTAGTTATTTAAATGTACAAAGCTACAAATTCCAACACTTTTCTGCACACACAATTTTTAAAACCCTTGTCGCTGCTCGGCTCTGCTCCAATGCTCCCCGTTCGTACCCTGCCCGTTTTACTACTCGCATTCTTCCCCCTAGTGTTAAATCATACTTGCTTAATTGGGAAAAATTACACTACAAATTAACTCTAATTGTAGTGTTATAAAACAACACTATTTAGTGTGGACCTGTGTGAACTCTAATTAGTGTTGCTTAGAGTTGATTTCTTTTAACTGCGTAGCACAAAATATTGGTCCTATATGATTTTATCTGGGCCAATATTGGAATAATTTAGCCGATGTTAGCCCTATATTGGCATAAAATGATAATTTAATATATCATTGCCAATGTTTATCCAGCCCGTGATTAAAACGCCATAAAGCCACAACTTGTCAAGTGTATTTAAAAGGTCACTTACTGTCATAGAAACATGTACGATAATGGTCGAGCACAAACAAGTTGAAATCTTAAGCGTTTGGACTTCCCAGTAGGTGCTTGAAGAACTAGAGAAAAATTTATTTAATAAAAAATGATATAAATTACGTGACCGATTGTAAGTAGTAGATTATATTACATTTTCAATAATTTATTTTAATTTTCCTTTCAACATAAAAAATCGAAGGATTATTTGGAGAATGTTTGGTCATTTAGCTTTTATATGGTGGTTGATATTTTAATCCTTTGTAATTCTGTTTAACTTTATAGCATATATGTTTAATGATTTTCCAATATTTAGTAGGTACCTACTGGTAAATATTTATGATTTTGCAGTATTATGAATTATTAATGCTTTTTATTTAATTTTATGATATTTAAAAGCAAAATTTTATAACATAATATGTGGGAACAACGCTATATTACGTAGAATCTAATCAATGATATATTATGTAGAATCTAATCTATGGCTTATCAATCATAAAGCTAAAATATAAATAGCCACATTTGCGTTAAAAGCTTTTTATAATTTAACTTCCAATTGGTCGAAAAATTAACCAGTCCATCACCAATAGGAAGCTCCCCCTATATTCGCTAGCCATTACCGAATATTTAAACCATAAAAGCTACTATCAAATAATCATTACTGGGAAATAATTTTCTCGACATTTCGATTTTGTTATCATCGACAAAGCTCGTGGCAATTTCGCTGGATTTCCATTCTCCTGCACGTTTTACTGCTAAAAACATTGTTGTAAAACAAAACGATCCCTTACTGAACCCATATTACAGCAAATGT